ATTATTCTTTTTATTTATTTTGATTTTTATTGGTATATTAGGAGATTAAAGAATTTGGTATAGTTACGGGAAACGATATAGCGAGGTCGTAAATTAACTGCACTTTAGGGTTGTCCATTGTATTCCATTTTGGGTTTCCGCAGGATGAAAGAATGATCACTTATAATTAACGGTATTTCATTTACAAATGGAAAATCTGCAAATGTTAATTACTAGACTGCGAATTTTTATGCATTTATGGAAAATTTGGAGGCACAAAGATTCGCAGAATGCACATAATAAGAAAAAATATATAAATAAATCCAAAATATAGTACTCAATATAATATTTAACGAATAAAAGAATTGCCTATCTAGCTTCTATTTTTTTAAATATATTCATAAAAATGTGAATTTGCATAAAAATCCACAGTCTGTTAATTACTATTTGGAATATTTTGAGTTTTTCCTTGTCTGAATCACTGTTAATGTTTTATAAAATTCACTTGAATGGCGAAGCTGTAGCCTGAGCCAAATATATTAGCCGGTCACGTGGTTTTCTCCTCCGTCGCTTTTCGGTTTCATTTTTACCGTTCAGTAGTTATCCACGCCTATACGTTGACCTGTTGAACTTCTAGATACACAGATTCTCGCCTGGTAGAGTTCGTTAGTGTGGAAAAGCGACGAAGGAGAAATCCACGTGACTGGCCAATATATTCGGTTCAGACTATAAATTTGCTACCGGGCTTCGAACGTATTTTCGTAGAGCCCTGGCCGCGGTTTCAGTTCCTTAACCCCTTCCCTTATAATAACGAGTCACACTTGCGGTGTAGATTATGGTTAAGATATAACAAAAGTGAGCTCTGTTCGCAATACGCTTCACTATTTACTCTAACGTTAGTTTTAATTTATAAATCTAAGGATTCTTAAATAGAAAGTATACACAATGTCAATCATTTTTATTCAATGCATTACTCAAACGATGAATACGTACCATTAACCCTTTGAACTCCTAATTTTTTTTTTTAATTTTCTTTTCAATAACTCCCTATTATTTTAAGTATTTTAGTTGAAATGTACTTTAAAAGACATTTGGTTGATAGGAACCAATTTGAACAATTTTTTTACTAATTATATTGAAAATAGCATTAAGGGTCACATATGTGTGTGCCTATTACTCGTCCAGGTAAAAAATATTGCAAAATATAATACATATTTAAACTGGCAATTAAAAAATTATTTCATTCATACCTGTGAATAAAATTGATGTCGAGTCACACTCGACAAAAGAGTTCAAAGGGTTAAGAAGTACAGTCGATGAAAAATCTTAAGGCAAGGGGTTAACTGCTCGTATTTCTGTCTCGACACCCTGAAACATGTTTACTTCGACTCCTGACCGATTCTACGATCTCGCTATATCGTGGCTCGTACTATATCTACCTATCGATTCATTTCTCAAACATCTTGGATCGTTTATCATTCTACCTGTTCACTGATTTTCACAGACTTGCAGTTTTTTCCTCACGATTTCTTACTGTTTTTCTGGGCCGAGGAAGGGAGAAACGGTGATGGATTCCTCCTAATGTCCCGCCTTTGAAATTTTTCTGTTCTCTCGGTGTTCGATCGAGTCGATATCGACAGAGCTTCGTTCTTTCTGACGAGTTATTCGATGACCTCTGAGGAAAGGAAACGATGCTTGTTCGCAGCCATACGAGATAGACGTAATGCGCAGTACAGAAAATTCTCTACAAGAGTCAGTAACTTTGGATTCTACAAGTGACAGTATAGATGGTCCTACGCCTAGGCTGCGTCATTGCTGCGCCCATGTTATCTCGCTCGCAGTCAGTCAAGCGTGTAACGCTCCAACAGTTGGTTTCCTTTACGAGATTTCACGGCTCGACAAATCATAATAGAAAAATATAATTTCTTTAATTTTACTTTTTTTCATCTGGAATTTTTTTTAACATGTGCTTGAGATTTTTCTGATGAAAATGATATCAAACACGATATAATTTGAACAACATTTACTTATTAACACGTTCACTGTCGCGCCAGATTTACAGGTTGCTGTCAGGCGGCCACAAGAAAATACATTTTAAGCATAGGATTATAGTATTATGTTTTATAATTTTTTTTTTTCAATTGAAAATAATGTCTAGCTAGCTATGACGTTCAAAATTTTTAGTTGACAACGTTTGTTTTATTTTAATTATTCTAAACATTTGAGGCACTCCAGTCACTGATGACCACCATGGCCATATCGAGGAAACAATCTAATGTTAATACTTATTGAGTGATTAATTTCATTTCATAATATATCGCTTTAGCGAGTCACCGTTTGGTTGCCAATTGTTTATCACATAGAGTCGGCCTACCTCCACGTAAAAAAAAAAAAGAAGAAAATGTAGGGTCGATTCCACAAGTGTCAGTAAAATGAAGGGTCGATTCGACAAGTGTCAGTAAAATGTAGGGTCGATAGCAGCAGAAAAGCCGTTAAACAATTAGAATTAAATGTAACAAAATTGCAATAATGCGTAATGCAATTGAAAAATTGAAAGAATCAAAAGAAAAAACGCGAATTCGTATCTTTCTCGATTTTAGAATATAAGAAAATTTGAATAAAATACGCGACGAGAATTGGGGAGAAGCATTAGTCAAACGCGTAAAAATATTCAATAATAAACGAACTAGGAATGAAGCTATTATTTCAATACGCGATGCACTGACTCTAGTATTTACTAAAATTCAAAAATTCTCTTATATAAACTCCGAAAATAGATTATTAATTACGGTAAACTAGTGAGACGGTTTAATTTAGGGTGGGCATAGTGTACGAGTGTAGTGCACTCGTTCCAAATCAGCTCACAATATATAATAATAAATCAACTAACTACTTAACATGCAATTCATGCAAATTCCTTGGATGGTAAATTATTAGTAAACAAAATTCAATATCAGAGAAAATATATGAAAAATACTGAAAGAAAAATTTCAAATTAATTTCAATTGCTAGAAGAATAGTTACATATTATGCTGGAGTATAAATTTTTAATAAAATTGTGAAAATTGATAAATTATACCGTGTTACGATATCGGAAATCTCCCGCGAAAATCTCCCGCGAAAATTTCCCGCCTGACCTAACCGACGATTTTGCTAATGACTTTGGGGAGAGGGTACCGCAGGTATATAAGGACCCGCCGATGTCCCGCGAAATCATTTACCCTTTATACTGGGCCCTAGACACTTCGCGGCGTATTTTGACCTGAAGGTTCTGAGATGTGAATAGAGTGGTCGGGGGCTACTAGCTAGTCTATGTCCACCCTGTACACACTCAGCCTTCTTGTAACACTTGTATACATTAGAATCAATTAGAATTTCTATTACTAATTATTAAACAAATTTTAACAATTACCGGCACTCGCTAGGCACGTAATATCAGACTTTAAATACTCGACTTCGAACTTCGGTTTAGTCATAATTCTATTAATGTTATAATAACGTATAATTTATTAATTTTCACAATTTTATTATTAATTTATACTTCCAAAAATTTGTTAAAACATTACATATTATTATTTATACATTTTTGCAAGTTTCTTTGACAAATAAGTACGTTTCAACGATCTTATTACTTTCTCGTTGTGAAATCAAGTTCGGAGGATTAAAAATCAGGTTGACCCTTGGTCGTAAATTTAAAATAGCCATAGTGAAGGTGAAATTATTATTTTAAATAAATGTTTCTATACGAATTAAGAATCTATTCAACGTTTGTTTGTTGCAATACCGTGAAATAAATTGTATTATATATTTTCTCAGTTTAGACTGAATTTAAAGTTCGTAAGGATTAGAAATCAGGTTGACCTGTGGTCGTAGATTAAAAATAGCCATAGTGAAGGTAAAATTATTACGTTAAATAATTGTTTTTATACGAATTAAATATTGATTCAACGTTTATTTGTTGCAATACCGTGAAATAAATTGTATTATATATTTTTTCTGTTTACACTAAATTTAAAGTTCTGTTTACATGTTATAACAATTAGAATGTAGACGTTTTGCCGTTTCACGGTTTTTCCTCTGTTAATTATGTGTTTATAAATCATTTCAAACTAAAGCAGCACCATGCCCACCCTTAATTAAACCGTCTCAGTAGTTTACCGTAATTAATAATCTATTTTCGGAATTTATACGAGAATTTTTGAATTTTAGTAAATACTAGAGTCAGTGCATCGCGTATTGAAATAATAGCTTATACAGATAATCTTTTGAAATTACTCTTAATTAGGGAAAATCTTGAATCTTGTATGGAAGATGAAGATTTTCAGGAAATATTTATTTTTCAACAATGAATTTTTGTTTTATCGATTAATAACGTACGAAATGATTTTTGGAAAATTTTCTTCGTTTGAACGTTCGTTTAAGGTTCGACTATGATTATCAAATCTCTCGAAACACCGTAGAATGTTCAATTTTAAAAGTAACTTCTTCAATTTTTGGATAATCTGGGTAACGTGTTAGTGTTGACGATACACTTTCGAGTATAGACGTTAAAGTTCATAGAGTGGTCGGGGGCTACTAGCTAGCCTATGTCCACCCTGTACACACTCAGCCTTCTTGTAACACTTGTATACATTAGAATCAATTAGAATTTCAATACAATAGACTGAATAACAATTCATTTTAACTAATACCTATTGGAAATTTTCCTTTTAAAACAAATATAAATCATTTTACCAATAACTGGTACTTGCTAGACATTTAATAGCAGACTTTAAATATTCTCCTTTCGGTTCTTTTAAATACAATCAAATAATTTCTTCAATTATCGATACTGACTTGGAATACTCCGCTTCGAATAAAACATTTCGAAATTATTTTGAGAGTTTAGGGAAATAAACATTTGAATTTTATTCATCGTTGTTCTTCAGACTTGTCGAATAGGATATTGAAATTACTTTGAGAGGTTGCTTTTTCGTTACAGCAATTGAAATTAATTTGAAATTTTTCTTTCAGTATTTTTCATATATTTTCTCTGATATTGAATTTTGTTTACTAATAATTTACCATCCAAGGAATTTGCATGAATTGCGTGTTAAGTGGTTAGTTGATTTATTATTGTATATTGTGAGCTGATTTGGAACGCGTGTACTACACTCGTGCACTATGCCCACCCTAAATTAAACCGTCTCAGTAGGTTACCGTAATTAATAATCTATTTTCGGAATTTATACGAGAATTTTTGAATTTTAGTATATACTAGAGTCAGTGTATCGCGTATTGAAATAATAGCTTCATCTCTGGTTCGTTTATTATTGAATATTTTGACGCGTTTAACTTATGCTTTTCCCCAATTCTCGTCGGGTATTTTATTCAAATTTTCTTATATTCTAGAATCGAAAAAGAAATGAATTGCGTTTTTTCTTTTGATTCTTTCAATTTTTTAATTGCATTACGCATTATTGCAATAATATCTATTGTTACATTTAATTCTAATTGTTTAGCAGCTTTTCTGCTGCTATCGACCCAACATTTTTGTATCAGACTTTTCTGCGATTTTTCAATTGCATTACGCATTATTGCAATAATTTCTATTGTTACATTTAATTCTAATTGTTTAACAGCTTTTGTGCTGCTATCGACCCAACATTTTACTGACTCTTGTGGAAACGACCCTACATTTTTTTTTTTTTTACGTTGAGGTAGGTAAAGCGATATATTATGAAATTAAATTAATCACTCAATAAGTATTAGATTAGATTGTTTCCTCGATATGGCATGGTGGTCATCAGTGACTGGAGTGCCCCAAATGTTTAGAATAATTAAAATAAAATAAATGTTGTCAACTAAAAATTTTGAACGTCATAGCTAGCTAGACATTATTTTCAATTGAAAAAAAAAATTATAAAGCATAATACTGTAATCCAATGCTTAAAATGTATTTTCTTGTGGCCGCCTGACAGCAACCTGTAAATCTGGCGTGAACGTGTTAATAAGTAAATGTATCGTGTTTGATATCATTTTCATCAGAAAAATTTCATCAATATGTTAAGAAAAATTTCGGGATCAGAAAACGTAAAATTAAAAAAGTTGGGATTTAAATCGCTTGGTTGCCTCGACTCACGTTTCATGCTTATATTTTATTCGCTGCCCTGGTCTATGTTCGGCAAACTACAAAGGCGGGCGCGAGGCTCGAAAACGTAGTCCCTGACTCTACGAGTGTCAGGTTTAGCTTCCTTGCGGTCTGACACTTGTGGAGAATATACTGTAAATGTAACTTCCAAATTTCTTCTCCAATTTTTAGGGATTAGAAGTGTTACAAAATAGAGTAGTTATTGCGAAACAACTTCTGCTAGAACATCAATTTAAAGATTGGAACGTCTGAAATAAAAATACTTTTCAGTTTATAAATAAAAATGTATTATCTACAATGTAATGTACAATTTTTCAACGAGGAAAATCCACTTTTTTCCCAAAAAAGAAGTCAAATTTAAACGTTTCCAAAAACTTAAATAATTGAGATATCTATTATAATATAGGGATATAAAATTTTTTATTTAAAACGTTCTAATCCTTGCTGGCGATGGCTAACAGCAGCTGATGTTCCAGCAGAAGAGGTTTCGCAATAACTCCTCCATCTTGTAACACTTTCACTCCCTAAAAATTGGAAAAGAAATTTGAAAGTCACATTTATATCCTCTGAAAAAAATTAAAACCTTTCATTTAGTAGTTACCTATGAAAAAAATCCCAAATCTTCACCCCATTTTTAGACGCATCAGGATGGTTACTCCCTTAAAGTATTATTATTGTTTAGAAATGAATTTTCTTTAAAGACTCATACAGGAAAGAAGTTTTGGAAATCCTGGGTGGATAGAGAGTTATTTAGTGAGTCTTCTTCAGGTTGGAGGTTTAGAGATAATAAATGTATCTAAAAGGGAAGCAAGCATAAGGGGTTACGTCCTACCCCCTTTGAGTATGCTGAAAAGGTTTATTTAAATATAAATATATATTCGTAGCGTCTTGTATATTTTCGGAGATTTTTAAATATCTATTTTGCGCATTTTGAACTCAGATTCGTGTCGAAAACGGCGTTCGGGAACTCTAATCGTGATTCTAATCGAACTGACAGATGGCAGATGTACAGAGCGAGCTTCAAGGTGGATTTTCTTTGCCGATTGGAAACTCATTTCTTTATATCGATCAATGATGATATTTTATTTTAGGACAGTATGATATCACTGTTGGAAAAAGACTTAAGTAAAGAAAAGACATCACACCTAAGTATTGACAACGAAGAAGCTGTAATTGCAGTTTGCAATATTTCCGAAAGTTTCACGTACGAAGATGTACATCCTGAAATTACTATGGATGGTAAAAAAAAAACATAATTGACCATTTATTAATAACGCTACATTCTTTTCATTATTGTAGTCATGATTCTGAAATTATTCGACTCTTTAACACCACTTGATCAACTTCTTTTAAAATGTGCTTCTGTGATTGGGGAAACAGTAAATAGACACATGCTAGAAAGTCTGATGACTATAACTTCGAAACGAGACGTTGGACTTGGTAAATTTGCCACATTTATTATTTACAAATGTAAAAATTACGTGTCTAATTAATTGTCTAAAATTGCAATATTTTTATTAGCTGTGTCAAAACTTTTCGAAATCAGAGTTTTTGGCTGTGCAATTGGAGACTTCTCTAGAAACGGAGGTCCCATAATTTTCATAAAAAACATGAGAAATCCTAGTTCAGAAATGGACGTTTTCTGTGCCTGCGTTGGTCTCACCGTTCAAAGTACTGACTATCCAGAAATATAATTGACTTGAACTACTGAAAATGTATATTTCCTCAGGTGATTTGGAAGATTTACCAAGATACGCCTCTTGCGGCTTGATGAGGTTCAAGATGTCGATGTTTCGCGATACTACTTATCGGTACTAATCAACAATAATTAATCGACAATTACACATTTTCAACAAAATTGTATATTTGAATTAAAATACTTCCGTTGAGATTGCTGACTGAAAATCAAAAAATGGAGCTGCACAATCAGGCTTTAAAGTATCTTCAACATCACACGAGACGATGTATGTCATGTGGAGAAGGTCAATTCGCGAAATTACTAGGGAAAGTGTCGAAAAAGGAGGACAGAAGGAAGAAATCGAAGAACATAGATGAAATGTTCGAGTTCGTTAACATGGAATATGAAGATAATACCGTTGAAGAGGAGGCAGAAAGTAAATGAATAACTATCGATTCTTCGTTTATAACGATCTCTTTATGGTAGCAGGGAACAAGATACTAGTTTCTTGCATGAAACTATTTCGAAACGTCGAAAGGAAGCCAACAGTGACATTTTCCGACACGGATTTCTCCGACTGCCAGTGTGAACTAATATTAATGACAGTGTACACTCAAATTCTCGAGCATTGTCGTGGTATTGGTACATATTTCCATCAATTGTTTATTTAAATTTAACTTTTTCTTTTTAATAATACAACAAGAAATTGACTGCTTTAGGAAAGACTGAAATGACACTGACCGCCATTCTGGAATTCGCAGAAATTTGCCTGATGACGTACAACATTCCACAAGCTCGAAAACTCTTAGCAGAAAGCGAAACTATCCTTGAAGAGGTGTACAAATATTTCTATCCCTAACAGTATAATAATTAAGGGGTTAGACCTCTCCTGAGGCATAAAAATGATACCTAACTTTGGCATTTCTTTTAAAGAAAATTATTAACTCAATCGAAAACTTTTCACAGCGGCTTTATTATAGGGCCCTTAAAGAATATGAAAGTATTTTTTCATTTAATTTCTTTACAAAATGGCGGCGCTACAGCCGCATCGCTGAACCTTTATTTCGGACGGACGCTCCCACAGTGTTGTTCCCTGTTTCCACACGGTTTGACTTAATAAAATATCAAAAATTTTCCTCATCTGCATGCCAATTACTAAAAAAGTACATAGGATTTGTAGAACATATTGATTTTTATAGAAAAGATGAACGTATGAAGAAAGAATCGTATTTTTCCTTAAAATTTTAGTACAAAAATATTAATTGCAGAAAAAGTTTTAAATATATTACAAAATTAATAGATAACGGAAAGTAGTTTGCGAAAATTTCCAGTAAATCCGATGAAAACTATAGAAGTTATGAACAACACCGTCTTTAAAAATGTAATTCTGAGAAAAGCACGTTTAAAGTTTCGATTACTGATTGACGCGCTTCGTTAAACGGCTCTAACGGTATAAAACCATCGAAATTTTTCACCAAAACTATTTCGATTACATTTTTAAAAGTATAAGATATCGATTTGAACAAAAAAGAATTGGATTTTTTCAAACCTCAGAGGTGATCTAATCCTTTAATGCAATGTCCGAAGCTATTCAAAGAAAACGAAGACGAAGTGGTCCTTCTACCTTATCTCACCGCGAAAATCCAGACTCTTCAGGGTCAATGTTTCCTCGAAAGTGGCTCCCTATTCGAGGCTGAGCAAATCCTCGGAATGGCAATGGATAATTTAGGATACAAATTCCCGAAGATGGAGATAACGATCGGCTTAAATTCGCTTATACAACTGGTGGATCTAAAGTTAAAGCTGATTTGCCTGAAAGACTGGAAGCTTAATACCAATTACGTAGAAGACAACATGGATTACATCGCACAATTGGCCGAATGTTTGATACAAATGTTCACGCTTTTCAGGGTAACGCATTCAACAAAAAGTATCTTCAATTCATAGAATATTCATAGAATATCGTTAACACAGATTAAAGGAATGAAGAAGCATGCACGTCTGGCGGCAATTTGGGGCTTGAATACAGCTTTAGAGTCTAATAAAAATTTATTCGTTCTCTGCACCTCTTATACCAACATGCTAATCACCGCGCACATGTATCAAGACAGGTGAGAATTTCTAAATAAAAATTGAACGTCCAATAACATCTTTTTATCCTGAATTCATATATGCAATCCGTTTGTTTCCATCGCAGAGGATTTTTATGTGACACACAGTTTAATATTTAATAACTGGTATACTCCTGCATATTTAGAAGCTTTATATATTTAGAATATTTAGAATATTTAGAATATTTAGAACATTACCTAAAACGTGGTTAGTACTTGTTGATTTCCTGGAATATTTTGCTCGAGGAATATTCCGTTTGAGGAACGTTCAGCAGTAATCAGCCATCGTATTGTCTCTCCATTTGCCCTGATATCGCTTTTCCATGCACGAAATGTCCTGATTAAATCAGCACCTAGATTTTGATATAATAAAATTATTTACCCCACCATGCAATAAAATTCTTCACTATTAGGATTTCATTCTTCTGAATACATTAAGCAGAAATTAAATTCACCCTATGTATTTATACTATTATTGATCAAATAACTGTGAATTTAGTTATTATTAAGCAATACAAAGTATTGCCACACAAAAACTGCGGCAGATGGAAAAAAATCTGATTATAGGTTCGAATTAAGCATCGAGAAATACGTAAGAATCAGTGTAAATATTCTTCGTGACAAAAAAAAATCATATTAGCCAGAATAATTTAATAAAATTCTAAAAAAATAACCATTCATACAGGCGTATAATTCCATATTTGGAGCAGAAAGGTATCAACATTTGCAGCGACAGCAAAGAAGTACTAGAATCACGAGAATTAAACGTGATCGCCGAGCTTTACACAGGAATATTCTTTTCTCGCTGGGTGAGAGGACAGATCACGAGAGCTACCAAAATTGGCTTCGTCTCTTATCGAATGGCCAGCACGATCGGATCGACATTCTTGAAACTGCTGATCCTACCTCGATTAATTCATTTATTGATGATCTCTTGCAGACATTCTGAAGTGGTAACAGAGTTAAGGGAACTAGGTGATGAAAACATTGTTTTTAGGTCATCCTGAAAGTTCCCCCGGTTTTAAGTCGTTCATTTTGAGAAAACGTAACTCTGTTGAAGTTAAACATTTTTATTTAAAATAATATCTATAAAGTTCGATACACTTTTGTCAACGTACATAAGTATAATTTATAAATTACAAATAATAAATAATTCCGAGTACATAAAAATCCGAAAAATACATGTCGAATATTTTTTGGGTAACTGCTCTATACCAAAGTTTCATCAAAATCGGTGATTATCACTTCGGGATTGTCCCTCGTTAGAGACTTAAATTTTTATGTACGCGAAATTAATACTCTTGTGATACATTGACAGAAATGTATCGAACATTATGGAAATTACGTTAAATGAAAATTTTTTGTTCCAATGAAATTATGTTTTTTCAAAATGAACGGCTTAAAACCGCGGGAACTTTCAGGACGACCTAATGTATAATTTATAACTGTAGAATTTATGTCTCTTTACGATTTGGACAAATCTGGACGTACCTGGTACTATGCACTTTGCGTTGACGTTCAATTGGATACTGGATTAATGATTCTCTCCTTTCAAGAGTGTGAGCAATACTTTCTTCGAGAAGGAGAACAGATGATCAGTCAGCAAGATCCAGAAGCGGAAAGGCGATACTTCGTTTCCATGTGGTTGTGGTATACCGACTTAGGTTGTTATTACTACGTAAAACTAAATTAGATAATTTGTGAAAAATTGTCTACAAGGTGTATCAGAACTAATCAATGGGAAGCTGCGAAAGTTTGGAAAGGAAGAAACGTGGAAAGCGCCCCTTTCATGGATGAGCATATAGTAGCAGCGACTATTACTTCCTTGAAGAAATTGGAAGGTCTACTCATTCTTTATGGTATTAATTTTCTATGTGAAACGTTTTCGAATAATTTTCGCAAATTTCTGCGATATTTTTATCTTCGCAGTGCACAAAATAAATAGTAGAAATGCAAACGCATCTATCATTATAGTGGAGGCGAAAAATATATTCAAGGATGTGAAGAGAATGAGCAAGATCGTTCGAATAGTAATTCCCAGGTATGCTTGAAGGAGGATTTTTATTTTAATCGTTTCGATGCAATAATTGGAATTATTCTAGATATATATTGCTGAAAGCGTATTACTGGATGATAAGATCTCGGAAAAGCAGGGCAATGAAACGGTTAAAGAAATTAAAGAAAATGTGCTTGAAAATGGAGAACAAACTGATTTACACGTGGGCATTGCATTGCGAAAAGGTTTTCTTTCTTTATTTTCATGTTGTAATCGAAGCCTTGTTTTAGCCCACGATTAAAATGTACAAAATTTGAATGAAAATTTCCAGGCTTGGTCAGGTGGGATCTCTCCTGTTCAATTAGATATGTGGCAAAATATGTCGAACACCAACATGTCGAATAAATGGAACGAAATCAATGTAAATAACTCGAAGATGGTAGTCTATACTTTTCCCTTACCGGAGTACCTTCACTGACGATTCTTTATTCTTAAGTTTGATTGAAATAAGTAGTTCTGCTTTAAATGTAACGCAACAATAAAGTACATATCATTTTTAATCATCATCGCATACGAAGTTGTTTCTATTTGTAGTTTAAATTATAAATAAAAAAGAAATTTGAAACAAACGACAGCGTTGAAATTTGATTATCATTTTGTTTTGAATGACTTGGATATGAAAGATAATTAACAAAATTCTAGTTTTAAAACTTTAAATAAAAATTCAATACAAATGAATTCACAACCTTGCATCCCTCCTTTTTGTAAAGCATCAACAAGTTTTGAACTTCCTTTATGCACTCCCCCTCCTGATTATTTTCCGGTATGTTAATTAAAAAAAATATATTCTCAAATAATTATACATAAAGAAAATAATATTTTAATAGGCATATTACTCCACTCTCCTACCTTTTGTTCCTACAATGCCCAGAGCTTATTTCTGGCATTTAAATAAATACCAACCTGTCTCAACATTGCGCAATGTCTGCTCTATTACATGTCCTCCTTGCAGTAAGATATATATGTTTTAATAAAAAAAATAATTTGTACTTCAATGTAATTAAAGAAATAATGTAAAGTAAACTTATTTCTCCTTTTCAGCATCCAGTGTATACAGATGGTAAATTGAATTGCCCACAGAATGCAAAACATTATGTGAATAGTCAAAATAAAATTGTCACTCTATATTATTGTTGAACTAATGTGTAAGATGTACATAAATACATGTGTCAATAAATACGTTATTAGGATATCAGAAATACAAACAGATATGAATTTATTTTAATATACTTTTATTTGAATACATATTTTAAATGATACTTGTATATACTGCTCTACCACTCCCTCACTTTACTTTGTGAAGCAAATGTTAAAATCCATGTCTTATAATCGTGTTTCTTCCTTTGCACTTGGTTGTGCCTTGGGTGTTCCTTACATATTATATACTGCCTGTCATTCTTCCACATTCGAAGACATTTATGACATCTCCTATGCAGGATGGTCTTCATTTTAAACCCACTTGTAAGATTATACGTTGGTAATGATGGTTGAAGTAAAACGGAACTAATTTGATTTGTACACATGTTGGGCAAACTATATGAATTTTGTTTATTACATATATAATGCATGTTACGATTTATAATTCTTGTAAGTGATTCCACTGGTGGTACTTTTGGAGCAATGGAACCTACAGTATGACACGCAATTCTAAACAATGACGATATGTTCATTGTTCCTGCAAAATATTTTTATTCGTATATAAAAGTTATTCACAGTTCTTACTTCAAAAAATCATATTATTTACGAAATGAAGTTTTTACATTAAGGTTAACCTCGATCTAAATAAAGTAGAGTTATTTTACTAACTGAGAAGTATTGATGCCAAATAAATTTATGAAAGTTTATAAAATATTTTAATATAATAAAAATTTTGTAAAATATGTTGTTTTCCTTTCTACTGCACTTTTTTTAACAACGTTGATTGCGTTAATACACAACGGAATAAGTTCTACTTGCTTATAGGCAATAACAGACGCATTAAAGGTCGTTCACATGTACTATCGTGAACATGTATAAAAAATTATTTTAATCATGTATTCTAAATATAATGTTCCATATAATAATATCGGTTAATTAACTTTATAGAAGTTGTCATAATATAAATAAATAAAACACATTGTATAAAGAAATGCTCTATTTACGCCACACTTAAGACAAGTTAGTTTCGTCAGCCACCTTATAAAATTTGTAACAATTTATAATTGGATAATTGATTCGTTCGAGTAAAAAGTTGAATATAAAAAATGAAATATATTAAACACTTCTTCGTATAAAAAACATAGAAGTTAAAAGAAATAAAATATAACCTACAAGAATCTAAGTACAATAATACAATAGATAAATAATTTGGAACAGCTTATTTTAACCATATCACAAATATCGCTATAGCGTTAATTAAAAGATTTTTGTTGATATTGCTTAAGGAGTTGTAATAATCCTTTTTTTATTTAGGTTAGGTGTTAGTTCTCATTTATCTTATTATTTGCAGTTATACGTACCTAAGTTTAATGAAAGCAATAAACGTGAAATTATCAAAATGTTAAAAAGGCTAAACAATTTGTTACAAATTTCTGTAAGTATTATAAAACAAATGTTTATATATTTATATTAATGTTACCATATTTAATGTTTAGTACTGAATATTATGTAATTTACAGGTTTCTGGTCAAAAGATCTGCAACCGATATCTAAATTTTGTACCTATTGTTGTAGAACAAAGTGGAAGAGGTGAACGAGCATATGACATTTATTCACGTCTCTTGAAAGAAAGGATCATTTGTCTAATGGGCCCGGTACAATTTAATATACCTCTCTTTATACTACTTAAATTTTCATAATTTCCTAATTTTTTTAATAACAGAAATGAAAGTTTAAAATCAAATTTTTACATAATAAAGAAAATAAATCTTTTTAAATTAGAAAATAAAAAAGGTCATATTGTTTTGTAGATCACAGATAATGTGTCTTCAGTAGTGATTGCTCAGTTACTATTTCTGCAATCAGAAAGTAGTAAAAACCCCATTCATATGTATATTAATTCACCTGGTGGAAGTGTAACAGCAGGACTTGGTATATATGATACAATGCAATATGTTCTTCCTCCTGTTGCAACATGGTGTGTAGGACAAGCATGTTCAATGGCTAGTTTATTATTAGCTGCAGGAACAAAGGGTATGCGTCATTCATTGCCTAATGCAAGAATTATGACACATCAGCCATCAGGAGGGGTATCTGGTCAAGCTACAGATATACAGATACAAGCCCTAGAAATATTAAAACTTAAAAAACAAATTAATGATTTGTATGTAAAACATACAGGCGCGGATTTAAAAAAAATAGGTACGTAAATGTGTTAAACCATCTTAATAGAACTTTTGTAACATATTGTAACTGTATAGAACATTGTATGGAAAGAGACAATTTTATGAGTGCTACTGAAGCAAAGGAATTTGGAATTATAGACAAGGTACTAACACATCCAATGCAAGAGGAAGAAACAGAAAGCACAAAGTTGCCTGAAACTAACCTTGAATTTACCCAAACTACCCAAGTTTAATAATAGTAAAAGGTTGAACAACGTGTGTTTAAAATTATGAAATTTTATTAAAACATGTATTTATCAATATTTAAAAATAGTAATAAAATATTTTTAAAACATTTTATGTCATGTATATAACTGTATTTAAGTACAGCAAGTGTGCTCATGTTTTGTAAATATTATGTAAATATAAAACATAGAGTGATGATTTTATAAATGATAACCATTCATATCACTTTGATATTATTCCTCAGGCAAGCAGTATATCACCAAGCATTCTCGCTATATGCTAAAAATATGTAATGCTATGATTATAGGAAAGACTGCGTAAAATAGTAATGGAAGACGAGATTTTGTATCAAAATGTATCTATATACAATTAATGAGTAATTTTGATTTTGAGATTGAACGTCCTGCACGTATCCTTCTGTCGTATTTTGTAATGGCAGTCACGCGCTTAAAATATTCTTAAAAATACATTAAGTTTAAAATTCCATTAACATTCCATTATCACCAAAAATACTTTATAAAAAGGACGGAATTGATTACGTGTCTCGATGCTACACATAAAGCATTTCACAGTATAGTGACATTGTATGTCATTAAAAAACATATATATTCCCCTAACACCAGCTTTTGCAAAACCAGTTTCGCAATTTTTTTTTTCTTGTAAATTATACGATCTTTCCATTCAAAATCACTGTGGGCATACTTGAGCGTGTGCAAGCATCAATATATCTTTTTTTTCTTTAGGAAATCTAAGCTCTCTTCCAGCTAAACGTGCCGCTTCGAGTTCTCTTTCAGCCAATGCTAATTCCATAGCAACAACGCCGCCGCCGCTTTCCTGTTCTCTCGCTACCCAATCTAATGCCATTTGGCTGCGCATGTTATCGTCCAAAGTTCGATGACTATAATGAGCAACTACTTCTTGTCTACTACATTGCCTTTCTCTCATTGCTTTCAAAGAGCCATTCCAATGGAGCAATTGAAAGACCGTCATTAATTCTTGAAATTCTAACATTGTTCTTCCACGATTGCATTCCAACATAAAACGAAATGCACCTATACCTGTATTGGGATCTTCTTTTTCATCTCCATTTCCCTGAAAATTAACAAATTCAATATAACACTTATATTTCTAATGACAGTAAATTTACTCAAATAGCCAAATTCAGCACATACCTGTGTTTGATTACCAACACCATTAGATGTTGCAGAAGGCTTAGCAAAGCTAGCTCTTGCTTCTGCCACAGCTTTTTCTATGAAGTCATCTGTTATTTTTCGCGCTGGATGTTCATTAAAAACAGAGTTCATCAAAGCAATTTTTGCTGCAGATCTACGGGCCTCTGCTTTAGTGGGGCAATTTTGAAAGCTACCAAAGCAAGATCCTCCAGGTAAGGTCACGTAACAAACATAAGGTGGACTGGTACCAGGTACAGACTCATAAATAACTAATGCTCCATTTCTTAATTCTGTCCCTCTACTTAGTTTCATTTGCCAAAACTCTTGCAAAGCTTCTACTACATTCACTATGCAAAGAAATAAAGCAATATGTAACTTAAATTTACTTTCAAGTAGAAAATGTTTTATATACCTCTTCCATAGCCTTGAGTATGTTTTGCAAAGCTGTTAACAACTGCCTCTACCGCTTCCTTTAACACTTGCTTGTCTCTGGCATCAACCAATCCACCTGTGATACCCATACTTTCAGGAACACGAGACTTTGTTTTAACTGGCATTATGCTCTGCATTACCTTTTAGAAGCTCATATACATTTACGTCCTAAAAACGATTTCCTCAGTGAACAAGTAGAATAATAAAAAAATTCAAGATTAAAAAAAGTGCTAACTGGCAATGTATAGGCGAAATTTTTTCCTCGACATTCTGATTGAAGATGGACCAACAATAGAACGAAAGAAACGAGTGAATAAAGTACGAAAAAGGTGTCTACATACGTAGCTAAAGTCAGCGGAACAATGTTGGCAAGGATTGTCTTTCTTAAGTGTTCGGTGTGACAGGTCTCGAATGTTATGCGAGTAACGAAACGGTGAAGCAATTGCTGCGACACCGAAGGCATCAGACGTGAGAAGAAACCCTGGAGGCCCACCTGCAGAGACCCGGATGCCCAGGAATTCGCGTAAATTACTCTCCGACCGAGCGCTACGGGATCAAATTGCAATACACATACAACGCGTTTAACGGCCCCGGACCGCTGACGATTTCCAGAAAACCAGGGATGTCTACCACGGTCAAGCACCCCATGCTACCGCGACACTATCATCGAGGATTGCCAACTGATTGTAAATGTTTCCTATACCAGAAACAGTATCGGATTCCGTGAACATGGAACCCATGCCCAAATATATTTGTGTTTTTTAATACTACATATAAATTATGAAAAAATATACGCTTAATACTAATCCATTATTCCAAATATAAAGCATTTTACTTTCAATCCTATCTTATTTCGAAAATACTACATGTCTGCAGGTAATGCAAGCTACACAGTACAGTCGAATTTAAATAACTGCTTATCTCATAAGACTTAGGAAAACATTTTTAATTTTTGAGTGTGATTTAAAATATGTTCAAATTAATATTATATGTTCTATAAAATATATAAGGCATATATAAAATTACAAAAACAGCAGCATTAGAAATATGATAGGTAGAAAGGTGAGTGTTTCTGAGAGCAGCATCAGCGAACAAAGCGCCACACATGAGTCATTTTTGGAACTGCAATGATCAGTTGATAAAAAAGAGCTGGGTAAAAAGTAGTAACCACACTTATCATTTTTCTGCATGATGGTAATATTGGTTACAAAAGAATTTATCGTACACATATAAAATATGAGATATTTTTATTTTTAAATATTATACGTCTACATTCAAGGAAAATTAGATATTTCCATTTATTGCATGGTATTAACATTCGCTTTATGTTCATTTTAATGAATTGTTATTCTAGCTATTTCTAATCCATAGATACGTTATTATCTTAAAAATACTTTCTTATATACAGAAATATAAATCATATATTATGTATTTTATTAAATAAATAATTTGTATACTCAAGGGAACATTCTAAAATTTCTAATTCATCATGCCTGAAAAGGTATGTTACGTGGCAAAATACCTTTTTTTTTATTTCTATGATTCACGATTGCAACCCGAAGGAGTACCAATTTACGCGCGCACATTTCCCGCGTGGCCTGGGCGTAAGTGCATGCATGCATTGATACAAGTTTGTATGTGTGCGACAGATCAGCTGAGCGCCAGCTGTGCTTCCAGTAATGACCAATAGGAATCGACCATACTGTTGCACAGCAGCGCCTCGAATACACGACCGGTACCCACTGGTTTGGCGTTCCCGCGAAAGTAATTCGTAAACTTCAGTTCCCGTTTTAAAAGCATTATGTTACATGTATGCAACTATTTTTGCACGATTATACATTGTTTTTAGTTTATTTGTATATGGTGTGTTTAAGTGTGATAATATTTGTTCGTGTTCCTTGAAAAAGTCGTGGTAAAATCGAGCGGGAAACATAGATGCGCAGAACGCGTGAGTGCTGTGACTCCTTGGATTTATGCATCGTCTACATGCAATATTTAACGTTTTAACATGAATGTATCATGTTGCTAGAGTAGAATACACTTCTCCTGGTTAATAAACTGCATTTTGTACGAGATTTCACGACATTTTATCGCGTAAAAGTGTACTTAGAACGGGGCGTCTGTCAAAGGACGCCAACGTAGCACCACGTTTGCGTGACCCCTAAATTCCGTGAATGTACGTGCAAGTAATAATGTTTATGCATTGGAAATAAACAATTGGACTTCGAAGAAGCTGTTCAGTGAAAATTTGGAATTTTTTTGCCCATTTGAGGTTATGTTATACATATAGAGGGCGTGACAGTGGCAGATTGCAAGCAGGGGTTGGTCATCGTTTCGCGCGCTGGTCTCCCGCGCTTCGAGTTCCACGTCCCGTATTTTTCTGAAGAATTACCATTCTGTGATATCGCGAGGCTTGAAATTGTATCAGAAAGGACTTTAAGGAATTTTCGTGCCACAAAACGTTTTGCGAATAAGAAGTTATGACATAAAATATTGAATCAAACGCAGCCAAGTATACGTGCATTATGGCGATCGGATGCGTGTAAGCTTCGCGCGCTCTTTTACTTTTCGGTATTTTCCTGGCTAAATTATCAAGTTTATGCTAGTTGCGATTAAGCGAACATTCAATTGAAGGACCGACCAATTTGTGTTCGTATTAAAAACGTCCGTTCCCGTTCGAAATATTTTTTGAACACGTCGACAATTTTGCAGCAAAATGCCACAGACGAGGTGAGCGAACGACTTTCCATTTGGTCTTAAAATTTCCTTCGATCCTCTTGATATTTCGTTGTGAACGTTTAGAATTCGTTCGGAATGAATTCAATTGTTCTGAGAATTTCTTGCATTCTCTAATTAAAAAAAAAAGTTAAGAAATATGCATGTATAACCTTCTTTAATTAGTATCTACTTTTTGGAAGCTCTAACGAAATTGTATGAATAATATGTGCACAGATTTTTATTTTATGGTTTTATGAATACTTTGTAAGCAGTTTAAATAAATTGTGATGTTTATATTGGATGTATATGTGTCCAAAAAATATTAGACGCTGTATAACGTAATTCCTTGTCATCTTTCAAAACTGTTTTTATTCGCTTCATAAGGACATTACACTTTGTTATTTGATACAAGTAAGCATTTAACGCTGCTATGGTAGTGTCAATAAAAAATCATTTTTTCCCCTTATCCAGTTTACATGGGAAAAAGTCACAGACTTACTTGCAAGGAGGCAAAGTAGTAACACAATCTTCAAAACGTAAAAGACGGGCAACAGAAATTTCTGAAGACTCAGAGAATGTTTATCCACCTAGTAAAATACCAGCATTATCACATGTATCATATACAGAGTCTTGTCATACAGCACATTCATTAGAAAATTCATGCACACCACATCAAGTGTCTCCATTGAAAGAACAACAAGAGCCAGCCACATGGTCTGAATTAAGAACTGCAACCTGCTTTTTAACACCATCATCTTCTAATAATGCATCAAATAGACCAAGCCCTTTGCCATCATTCCCATGGGCTGATGGTTCTAAAGTCTGGTCTCTTATGTGTTTGGGAGATCAAAAGACCATTACTCAAAGGAATTCACAGATGTTTCAAAGGCATCCAACATTACAGCCAAGAATGCGGGCAATTTTATTAGATTGGTTAATTGAAGTTTGTGAAGTGTACAAGCTACATAGAGAGACTTATTACCTTGCAATGGATTACATAGATAGATACTTGTCCATTCATCAAAATGTTCCCAAAAATCAATTACAATTAATAGGCATAACATGTCTTTTTATAGCTGCCAAGGTTCGTATATTTTTTAATTTCTTTTTATATTTAATCTGTAATAAATAAATGGTTTAATGAGATTGTTAATTTTTTTACAGGTTGAAGAAATATATCCACCAAAAATTGCAGAGTTTGCATATGTCACTGATGGAGCATGCACAGAAGAAGAAATTTTAGGAAAAGAATTGATAATTTTGAAAGGTCTTGGGTGGAATTTATCCCCTGTCACTGCTCCTGGCTGGCTTAATATTTATATGCAAATTGAGTCAGGTGATTGGTCAAGACCAAATGCATTCATTTACCCACAATATGGAGGTCTGCAATATTCCCAGGCAGCTCAACTATTAGATTTAGCAACATTGGATGAAGGAAGTTTAAAATTCCCTTATAGTCACATAGCTGCAGCAGCCATCTATCACACACAAGGAAGAGAATGTGCCTTAAGGGTGTCACGCATTCCATGGGAGCAACTTGCACACTGTGTCAAATGGCTTACTCCCTTTGCAATGACAGCTGCTGAAGAAGATTCTCAGTGCCTTTTAAGGTCTACAATAACACCTGTAGAGTCTTATTCCGGATCTGGACTTAAAGCAACAGTACCCAATATAGTAATGGATGAATCACATCGTATACAAACTCATGTAGTAGATTTGAACATGTTAGAAAAGGCGCAACAACGATTAGTGGATGAAATTCCCCCTATTGACACAAATGAGTCTGATTCTAATCCTGAATCTGGTAGACAAAGCCCAAATGAAAGTGGCCTTTTAACACCACCATCCAGTAGTCAAAAAAATTCTACCACACCGTCGCGTCCTCCTCTACAGTTACAACCGTATACATAATCAAATATTTATGAACACTTCATAGTTTCTAATGGGGTGTTTTATTTACTAACTGCTGGTGAATGATTTTAACTAAACATAGTAATGTATATGTCTGTTAGGAAATATCATTAACTGCTTCAAAACAGTTCTACCTTGCGTAAAATTTTGCACATGTGCTACTAAATACGGGATTGCATGAGTGCACGATAGTGACAGTGGATACTGTATATTATCGTAAATAATACGGTGCTTCCCATTAAAGGCCATTGTCCCTGAGCAATGGTATTTATATCATAATAGTAAGACTTACAGTACAAGGTATTGACCATTTTCTATAGCGTCCAAAGTGACACTGGATTTATTTAATATTACTTGTTTTATTATGAACGTTTAAAAGAAGTGCCTTGCATAGAGGAATGTAAACTTACATAAAAGCCTATGGCTATCTTCTGTGATTATATTCATGCAGTGAATCTTGATGATACATTATATATTAATACGCTAGGGAAAGTTAATAATGATTACTATTTTCATGAATTTAGACAGCATTAGTGCCTACAAAAAAGTGTCCTTAAAAAACTGTTTTTATTAGTTCTGAGCTAGAGAGGGAGAGAGAGAGAGAGCATTGTGAATAGTATTCTTTTATATGATTTGCTTTATTTTAACGCAACGTATTATAACAATGCGTTATCGAGGCGTGTGAATGTCTTTTTATGTATATGTACATTGTGAAGTACTAATAAGCAACAAAAAAAAAAAAGAGAGGGTGTGAGGGGATGAATGCATTTGAGTGAAAATACAAGACTACTAATTATTAAAATAGGATTAAACTTTCGTGATCAATTTACACTGCCTTGCATGTAGTGACGCGGCCGTTTATACACATTTGTATGAAAAATTTGACAATAAATATTTGTAAATCCGAACATTAAGCAAGCGATTTATCCTGCGTATCCACCAATTTCATCGAAGTAGCGAAATTAATATTTTAAGCAAATGAAGAAAAATATAAAATTCATTGTGTATAAAATGAAATTTCATTAATTATTCGTAAACTTACGGAAACATGCGTCCCTTGACGATGGATCGAAAGTCGGAATCGATATTATCGACGGAGAAAATAGCATCCCAGCGCCGCAGTGTTCCTTTGAAGAACATAATAACGTGCTGCGATTGGCTGTGGCGTTTATATTCAAGTTGTCAAATGCCAAACGGCCGTTAAGAAAGCGGTTGCGTGCTAAACATTGTAACGGTGGCGGAATCGAAGAACGTGTGTGCGTAATTTCAACACAGTAAAATTAATTATTTATTCTAATATTGTGCGAATTCGAGTGACGAACAAAGTAACAAATATAATGTACATTAATCGCGAATATATGGTTGCAAGAGATAGTATCTTTTGTTCATAATGCCAACGAACGTGCCCGTGTGAATGCTAACGATTACAATTTCGTGTTCTTCATAACGTTAACAGTGTCCTCCGATTTTTGTACAAACTGTTTCACGATTTAATATAATTTTCTTCGTGGTATGCATTTCGGATGCATTTAACAAGGCTGATAGCGAATTTTTAGCGAGAATTAAGAAATATCGTCAGGATGTCAAGTCCAAGAAGCTTGGGTGGTTCGGTTCGCGAAGGTACCAGGGTAGTGCTTCGTGAAATTACTGCATCCCTCCATAATTCGCCGCCAATGCAGCCTCTTCGTCGCAAGGTATTTATACGCTTTTATTGTGAATGATAACCGCGCTGGCAACGCGCATGACAATGACCTTTAGGTCGGCATATTCGGCGTTCTTATCGGTTTATGGCCTCCTTTTTTACCCTGTCGCTTTTTCTCCTTGTTTTTATTGCAAACAGTTGTGCCGGAGAATCCCTATAAATAAACCCTGAATCTCCAGGAGCACCTTGAAACCAAAATAAATTTCGCTTCCCGCGCGGGAGTATCTTCCTGCGATGTCAAAAAAGAACGCATGCTCGTAGAGAATTTACTTGACGATATTAACTTTTATTGCGTTTGATGTATAATTTATTTCGGACATATTAACCAGACATGTAACTGTTCATTCGTAGATATTGTAATATCTGTCACGTGTACCGAATGATAAATTAGGGAGGGTACAGTTAATATTTGACACATTATCTCGCTGATCGAATTGTAAGTTCACATTTTTTCTTATATCAAATCAGAAACTGGTTTGTTCTCGATGTTATAAAAATGAAACCGGTTCTTCGATTATTACAAAAACTCAATATACTTCCGTTTGCTTTTTTGTTTACGGAAATATCGAACGACGACACTCGCAATATTATACAGAGTGTTTTATAATATGTGGAACCCACTTCAGGAGTGGACAGGGGACCCAAAAACAGTGAAAAAAGTTCGTACAAACATGTGTCCTACTTGACTATGTTTCAAAGTTATAACCACTTTTGTGTTTCAATAATTTGCAAGAGCTTATCTTCATTGAAGATGCTCAAAATGATCATCCTCGGTTTATATTTATAAATAATGCTTCGTATTTTGTGGATATATCTTGTCCTTGTTGATTTCACACATTCTGCCGATTAAATTTACTCATTTCAGTTTATAGTTCAGTTTTCTTACTAGAAGTACTTAATAATTTTCTACTTGCTGTGTGTTAGAAGTTAAAAGTGCATAATTAAGTAAATAACAATGAATAATTATTCCTATCAAGAAATAATAATAATAATTATTATTCACTTTCTATGATGATAAACTTTCAGGGATTATTGAAATACAAAAGTGTTACACACATAACTTTGAAACAAAGATGAAATAGGACACATGTTTATATGAAATTTTTCCATTGCTTTGTGTCCTCTGTCCACTCCTGAAGTGGGTCCCACATATTATGAAACACCCTGTATAGTAAGCCTTTTATTTATGTTATTTCTATATTCTCTTAGTTTTCTCAACTTATTATATTCGATGCAACGGCTCGACCGCGCTGGATCCACGCTCAACTATATTTGCGTAAGAGAAAGTGCCGATTAATAAGGATAAGATTATGAATATCGCAACCAGTATATCGCGTGTAATAATAACTTTACTTTCAAAACAGAAATTGCGACTCCAATTTTATATTCTCCAAAGATCGAATGAGACCATCTAATTCTGGATTTTCATAGTTAACCGGTACTGTGTAAATTAAGGTTACAGTTTTATAAAAAGTGAAGCATATATAGATGTATAATAGGATGTCGTGTAATATAAAATTTCGTTACAATTTCCCGGCATCCTTCGTGGGGTTAGGTTGTACATCAAACAGGATGATTACCGATCGACGCTTCTTTTTACCCTCTCAGCAATCGATCACTTGATTAACGAGTGTTCACGTGTCACTCCAGATAGCGCCACACCGTCTCACCTCCGGTGCCATGAATCGTTTCCCACCACTTCCATAGTTGGTGATCTTTGTAGCGTAATGCCCGTGCGGCGTGTGCGCGGTTCGACGTTACGACAGCTTCTCACAAGCAGCTATACCAGCAAGTGTTAGTACGCGGTATTATCGTAGCAGGACTCGTGTGGCGATGACACTCTCGTTGCCTGATCTTCCTCGTCGACCTGGAAGCCCGTTCCACGCTGGACGCGACCTGGCTGTGTGAAACGTTTTCCTCGACATAGAGAGAGAGTCGCGTTTCTCGAAAGGTGAGGCGCTCGCGTTTTGGCATCATCGTTGTGTTCCAATCACCGTGTACTGCGCTCACCAATACACACGTATACATATGGTGTCGCGTGCCGTCGTAGTCAGTGGTAGTGGTGGATGTCTAGAGTATCGACTGGAGAATGCACTGCGCTAATATTAGAATTTTCAACCGGAGGTATCATCGTCCGTTGATGATCGTCAGGCACGGTGAGTGCTTCGTGATCTTCCGACGTGTCTCTTCTTCGCGAGGATTAGCCGGAGGGTTATTCTGCGTCGTCTTGGGCCTAATTTCACACTGTTCGCCTTTAACGCCGTTCCCATCGGGCAAAGTTCACTCTGTAGAAGCTATGCATTCCGTCTTCATACTTTAACACTTTCTATACTGAACACTCTGCAGTTAAATTAGAGACAACTTCCAATCATTGCTATTCAATACTCGTTTCGTATATAAAAGATATGATTAAACTGTATCAAACACGACGAAGCAATACTTTTTTGACTTTCTTATTGTATAAAATTTTTCTTATTCGTTTCGAATATATTCGTAGCCTACGCTGACGATATTTCCTTTGACGTATGTGCGTCGATAGTGTGTATGCCAGTGAGATTCGTTCGAGAAACGTAGCACTGAAAATGTTCGATTTCATTCGATATCGAAGATGGGTGGAAAGAATCGACCTGAGGAAAAAGAGGGATGAGTGAGACACACCCCTCTGCAGAGAGAAATGTCTCTGCGGTTGCTAGTGATCGCGGCCAGATGGGAATGACTCATAGCGACAGAGCGTGTTGTGGTCTCGTCACATGATGTCAAGAACACGCCGAATAAGGAGAGCGCGAGCTTCTCGAGTTTCGAAGGGAATTGCCTGATTGCGTCCGCTCGCTCACTTGAACGCGCCGCGGCCAACGGTGTGCTCGAGCGAGCGCGTTCACGTTATACCGTAGATTTAACGAGTAAAAGCGCCATACCGTGATATAATGATCGACGCGGTCTGTCACGGTGCATAGAGATGTCCCTGTCGCGGATCCTTTCGATGCACTCGAGTGTGAACTATTTGAATTGCGTTGCACCTAACACTCCAATTGCACGGTTGGAAAAATACGGCAGACTTTGATTTTATACATTAAAAATCAATTTTTTTTTAATTTACATTCTCCTCATTCTTTTCTTTTTTCTCGTAATAATATAACTTGGATTTATTTTAACCCCATTATAAATCGAGTATTAGGTGTATCTTATATTATACAGGGTGATTCATAAGAAAAAGAACTTTTATAATTTTCTCCTCAGTCATTAAATTCACGAAAATCATGTAAAAACTGATCGATTCTTCGTATCGATAATGATAAGATTCTACTTATGCTGTGTCACCTTGTACATTATCACTTGTGTCACAAATAATATATTTGCTTCTTTTGTTATAAAAAGATCTCGTGATTTATGAACGTTGTTCGTGGACGACTTATCGAAACGAACGTGTTTCCGCAAATGTCACGGGACCGTTGTCTCTGAACGCGTCTGTATCATGCTTTAAATCGATTTCCCGCGAGTCCGTAATCGAAGTAACTCGCGTTGCATTTGCGAAACTACGAAGGACGCGTTCCAAATAGGAAAAGATTGTAGAATCCATTGTACGCGTAAAATCCTTGGAGATTAGTAACGAACTTTTAAAAAGTTATGTAATGAAATCCTAAAATTGTACAGTTAATAATATGCAATTTAAAGGCTAATAATAAACTTTTAAAACCTATGCAAAATAATCCTAAAATTTTACAGTTAATAATTTGCAATTTAAAGGCTAATAATAAACTTTTAAAATCTATGCAAAATAATCCTAAAATTTTACAGTTAATAATTTGCAATTTAAAGGCTAATAAAAAAACTTTTAAAAAAGTATGTAAAATAATCCTAAAATTTTACAGTTAATAATTTGCAATTTAAAGGCTAATAATAAACTTTTAAAAAAGTATGTAAATTAATCCTAAAATTTTACAGTTAATAATATGCAATTTAAAGGTTAATAACAAACTTTTAACATCTATGTAAAATAATCCTAAAATTTTACAGTCGCAAATGTCACGGGACCGTTGTCTCTGAACGCGTCTGTATCATGCTTTAAATCGATTTCCCGCGAGTCCGTAATCGAAGTAACTCGCGTTGCATTTGCGAAACTACGAAGGACGCGTTCCAAATAGGAAAAGATTGTAGAATCCATTGTACGCGTAAAATCCTTGGAGATTAGTAACGAACTTTTAAAAAGTTATGTAATGAAATCCTAAAATTGTACAGTTAATAATTTGCAATTTAAAGGCTAATAATAAACTTTTAAAACCTATGCAAAATAATCCTAAAATTTTACAGTTAATAATTTGCAATTTAAAGGCTAATAAAAAAACATTTAAAAAAGTATGTGAAATAATCATAAAATTTTTAATTATTAATTTGCAATTTAAAGGTCAATAATAAACTTTAAAAAAACTATGTAAAGTAATCCTAAAATTGAACAATTAATAATTTTCAATTTAAAAATAAACTTAATCGTGTCAGCTTGCTGATTTTGTCAATCTGTCATTGAAGTTTCCTCACTTGGCAATCAGAGACATAAATAGTCATTAAGTGTTAATAATTGCCTTCTCGCGTGCTAGTGTTCGTCGAGTGTTACGCATTTTGCTTCACAATCGTCGTCCCTCAATACGAAACGGAGTCATTCGGATCGAACTTTGAATTACTAAACGAAGGCTACTTCGTTAGAAACGCAATTTCTCTTTTAATTAATGCAATAGAAAAGATTAGAACGACTCTGTGTCATCATAGACGAGCAGCACAAAAATAAAAATTAATTTACCGTGCAGAATTTGTGTATCGTTAAATTTCACCCACATTTAATTCACTCTATCGATAACTATTTCATTATCGTTTATCCTACGTACATATACAGGGTGTCGAAAAAGGTCGGGACCAAACTTGTACCACGTGTTAACGAGATCGAATAGGTAAAAAAAAGTTCATATAAACTTCCGTCCGAAAGTGCTTTATTGAAATGACATAAGCGTTCAAAAATTTTTTATCAATTGTTAATTTATAATAAACGTTTAAAATTTCTTCCTTCCGCAAGAATGCAGGCTGCCACACGTCGATGAATCTAACAATCTAACGCCTCTCGACTTCTATTTATGGAGTCATGCAAAACAGAGTTGGTTTATGAAAACAAGAAACAGAAGACTAGCTTTAGGAATGTATTCAAAATGCATTTACTACTATTTATAATGCAGTAGAACTATTCGAAAGGAAACCTGCGTTCTTGCATAAGAAAGAAATTTCGAACATTTATCACAGCTGCCATAACAATTGATAGAAATCTTCGAACGCTTACAACTCTTCAACGAAGCATTATCAGACATAAGTTTATACGAACTTTTTTTACCCACTCGACCTCATCAACACGCCGTACAAGTTTGGTCGTGAATTTTTTACGAATCCCAGAAAAACATCATCCGTAAGGAGCGCGGGTAATTACGTAATTGCCACAGGAGCAACTCTCGAGGAGCTGGAAAAAAAATCAGCATTAATATTCATGGGATTAATGTCTTATTCTCCGGAATAGCGTAGAACATGAGCGATAGGTGAATAATGGGTAACGCGTGTCAGGCTCGGCTCGTGATTTACATGTTCTACTTTCTAAATTGCGTTTGTTTCCCCGTTGAAAAGCTCGCAACGACGTTCTGACGCGATCCGTTTCGTACGTCTAATCGTATTTCAGACAGCTACGCGCGTCTTAATTGAGAACAGAAATCGGTACCATAATTGGTAATTGGCCTGAACTTTATTCGGTGCAAAACGCGCATCGATACATCCCTAATTGGCCGGTTCTCACGTTAAACCGGCTAATTTGTCACGCCCGCGCGTGCTTTTCGCTTTTCACCGGTCGCAATCGAGTAGATAAGCGTGTACAGTGAAATTTCTGAGATAACACTTCAGCGAGAATGGAGGGAGGATTCAATTACGGAGAGTGAAATGTTTTGTTCATATCGATAATTAGACCGAGTCTACTCGTTGAATATCTTTACACAGATGTATAAATTCTCGAATTAGCGAACTGTTTATAAACTAGGTAGATCCTTCCATTTTCTAAGGAATTATTCATACGTTCAATTATCATATATTATACTAAGAAACTTCGTTCCACGATATATTTTGGTCAGAATTTTACTTCATACGGGAATCATTTACCCGTCGTTCTTTTTTCTTTTCTAGAAATCTTTTTAGAAATCTCGTACGTGCCTGTACGAGGCGCGTTCATATTTTAATATACACAGAGATAAAGATATCTGGTGTTGGAATGTTTTTTTTTTTTTTTTTTTTTTTTTTAA